GCATGAGAAGATCCAGGTCTATAAATTGAGCAGTCAGATATAAAACTAACAGGACCGTTTGTAACATCTCAGCATTCACTTTCAAGTATGAGAACGACCCGCAGGAATGACTGGTGAGTGAGCAAAACAACAAAAGTCATTTTGAGATAAATTCTAACCACCCCACCTAGAGTGATGCCTGGTTGCAGCTGTGTCACTCTGTTTGCAAAGACGAGAACACATTTTCTTGATTTGGTAGCGGGAAAGATGAAAGGCAGGGAGGCTAACAGTAAAAGCGGGCTTATATAGTTCTTTTGAGTGTGTATATTATATTCACTTCTTTTAGCTTCAAATTTTTAGCACCATTGTGTTCACTTTGCTGCATTAAATATCATGCACCTGGTTTTGGTTGTTTGTGTGTTGATGTTGTTTTTTTTTTTCTGGTCTGACAGTTTCTGGAGTTAGGCACTATATCACAGTCCACAAATCTGTTTTTATAAAATTTCTAAAAGGTAAATTTATCCAAGGCTCTTCTCTTCTACACTTATACTGAGAATTATTTTGCCACCTTTCCCTGTTTTCTAAATGTAGCAGGAAAATTGGTCACCTTTTCTTTCTATTGGAAAGTCAAACCAATGAGAAAAAAATCGGATTTGCATTGCCCATAAAACCCACGTGGAAATGAAACAGGTATTAGTGGTGCATCACCTGACTACTCTAGATAGCCGTTCCCAGGTAATCATCTCACCACAAAAGTTGCAGATCATATAAAAACAAGGGCAAAGCTCCGTTTTTATGTCCTCACTCCCACATATGTACTATCTCCAAAAACATTACTTATAAAGATTCTTATGTTAGGCAAGTATTACTTTGAAGAAATAAAACCTAGTGAAGGCTTTTACTTAATATGAACCTGTGTTTACCCTCTTTTTCAGTTTAAATAGTTTGTCTCCATTACAATTTAAGCTGTGCAAAGAATACTTATATTTGTGACAATCGGTATAATAAATCAGAAATATAGACTTTTTACAAGCAAATCCTAGTCTCAGTTCAAAGCGAAGTTATTTTTTCCTGAGCAATTAGTAGCATTTTTATAAGTATCAAGGCACCATGTGTGCAAAACTTCAGTTAAAAATTTAGGACTATGAAGGACGTTAGCAGTCGAAGGAGGCCAATAAATGCCAGCTGTTAAACTGGGGGCTGCGAGACGACAGCACGAATGCTGGTTACACCAATAAAATATTTATTAAACTCGGACTCACACCAAAGAGCAACAAGAAAACTACAGTTACTCTCACTTGCTTTTCATATGCAGATGAACTGGCCATAGCACCACAGGACCCCTCAACGTTCCATGTTGTACATTTGACTGTCAGCTGAAGAGCATTTCCATAAATATTCACATCACAATTACCAGGAGCTGGTTCATCTTCCAAAGGCTCCCTTACCACTTTAATCTGATAATTCATCAGAACCACGGTAGAGTATTTTATAACAAGCAGTCATAATTCTTCAAACCTTCTCAATTAACATATTTCAACAAAAGTAATATTAAACCCATGTTGTTCCTTCTCCAATGACTTTTTTTAAAAATTAAAAATAGGTCCTCTCCAGCCTTTTAATTATAAAAGAAATTCCCAACTGACATTAACAAACAGAAATAAAAGATAGATAGTAAGGCAATGCTCTTAGGGACTCTAACCTGAACATAACACCACACTCTACAGAGACCAAAGCTTTTATCTAAAAAATATTGAGTCAAGGAAATAAAACCCACACCAATATTTTAACATATCCTTTCCCTTTCCTTTTCTTTGCTCTTTTTTAAAAATAAGTCTTCTCTACCTGAGGTTAAAGAATTCAATAAAATAAATGCAGTTTGCCTGACAGGATCTTTAAAAAAATTAAAAGGAACCTGGAAAACCATTTTTCTAGCCAAAAGCATTCTCTTTTCTTGGTTTCTATACCTCTGCCTACTTTCACCTTTCATTTTCTTGCTTCTTAGTATCTCTATCCTCTCTTTCTTTTGACCAGAAAAATTGCAAAAGACTTTAAATGGGCAAAAAGATTACTGGATGCCCTTTCAGTGTGTGGAGGGCCTTCCAGCATTCTCTGACTCTGCAGGATCTGTGCCTTCCTTTCTCTCTGTTTTGCCACTCCTGTTACAGAAAGTGAAGTGAACTTGTGGAGGGCTGATGGTGACCAGGGACCCCTGGCCACAGAAATACCTGTCAGGTGAAGATGCAACTGATTACCACACCGCTCAAGCGGCCTGTTTCGCATCTTTTAGCATTTCTCATTGCCTATTATGTCTGTCCTCTGGAATTCCCTTTGAACTGGTTTTAACATTTTACTTGTTTTCCCATTAACTAATGAATCAAATAAAAGCTCTGATATATTCATTTTATATTTGTATAAGAGTCATGATTTTACCTTTTCAAAACTATCCTTTAGTTATCCCAGGGCTGAGCAAATTATTATTAAAACTTAAGTAACAGCTTGAAACAAATACTATTGTTAATTTTATCACTATTTAAGCACTTCTTGAATTAATTAATAATACTATTTTAAGATTTTGACACTAGTACTCTGAAATCTTAATAGTCCTTAAAAAGAGATTCTTGGGGCCGGCCCAGTGATGTAGTGGTTAAGTTCACATGCTCCACTTCGGCAGCCTGGGGTTCGCAGGTTCGGATCCCGGGCGTGGACCTACACACCACTTATCAAGCCAGGCTGTGGCAGTGTCCCACATACAAAATAGAGGAAGATGGGCACAGATGTTAGCTCACGGCCAATCTCCCTCACCATAAAAAAAAAAAGAGAGATTCTTTTCCTAAGTGGCAGAGGAATGAATAGTATATACACAAAAAGAGCAAAGAACCATAGCGATAATGACTCACATTTATAAGCACTTGATACCAGTGAGACACTATTCTAAGGCACTGTTTTTAGCACGTTCACTCACTGAGTCCTCACAACCATGCTGCGACACAGGTGCTCCATTTTGCACTTGAGGAAACTGAGGCAAAGAGAAGTTAGGTAACTCGCTCAAAGTCACACAGCTAGTAAGTGGTAGAGCTCTGATTCAAACTGCAAGAGTCTGGCTCCAGAATGAATCAGACCACCTTTCAGAGAAGAAAGAAATGAAAACTTCTGAAGAGCCAAGCACTTTTAGTGCCATTATTCCTGGCTGCCGTTACCAATGTTACCAAAGGATTATCCAGAAATGTATTAAGGAAAAGTGCTTTTAGAGAGAGTTCAAGCCAAATCTTTTTGTGGGTAGCAGCAATAACAGGAATAATAAAGACAATCAGAAGTTGGGAGGACATGAGAAGGTAAAGCAATCAAACAGGGGGTGGGTTATACACCAAACTAAAAATTAAGGAAATCCATTTTATGATAGTAAACGTCCAAGTTAATCCTAACTTTGAAAGTTTTGTCCAAGCCTGATACAAAATTCATACAATAACCTTATATTCCTTGTGCCTATGTACAAAACTGTATCTTCCTTATGAAAGAACAATCGAAAGGGACCTCCTGCTCTGCATTTCTTTTGTGACTGGCCTTGGAAAGAAGCTGGCTTTCGAGAGGACTGCAGCAGGCCAGCCGTTAAAAAGGTTTACTATCAATTGCAAAGTCTACTCATGCTTGAAACTGGGCTCAAATAAATATCTAGCAATTCCCATTCTTTTCTGGACTTTCTTGATCCTTAAACTCTTAATTTATAAAGCACTGAAATCCTTAAAACAGCTCCAGAAAGACCCATACTGCCAAAGAGCTTCAAAGACGTGACCAAGGGCAGACCAAGCTCACTGCAAGCTGCTATAAAGCTCCAGGACCTTCTCAACACGTGGGAACTTCCCAAAACAAACACAGACTCCCTCCCTCTCAGCCAGGGGTAAACTCCAGTAGCTGACAAAGAAGCCTGCTATCTGAATTACTAATGGCCTTCAAGAATAGGTTTGATGGCTAAATATATAAAGATTAGTGGAGAACTTTCTCCATTCCTAGAAAAACCTAAAACGAAGCTCTGTAAAGTGTTAACAGAACTAATTTGTCACCTTCAGTGTTTATGGAGACTCATTCATTAGATACCTTCATAAACAGAATCACTAAGGTCAGAAAATAAATTGGACATAATGTGTTAGATTAATTAAGTTAAGATATAAGGTTAAAGGCACTAATTATAAAAGTTACTAAAACATTATACTAGGGATTAAGAAAATTCTAGGGGGCCCGCTCCACAGCGTAGTGGTTAAGTGCGCGTGCTCCGCTTTGGTGGTCCAGGGTTCACAGATTTGGATCCCAGGAGCGCACGGACACACCGCTTGTCAAGCCATGCTGTGGCGGCGCCCCATATAAAGTAGAGGAAGGTGGGCACAGATGTTAGCTCAGGGCCCATCTTCCTCAGCAAAAAAGAGGAAAGACTGGCAACAGACGTTAGGTCAGGGCTAATCTTCCTCACAAAAAAAGAAAGAAAGAAAATTCTAGATTTGGTTACAAGACATCTTGAAACATATCATTTACCTACCACAATTATGGTAAAGTAAATAAGTCTGGAGTAAGTATGAATTATTAGGCAGGAGTTATAAATAAAAGGAAAGACTACATTGGGCCTAATTATTCTAAAATATTTCCCAAAAAATCAAGCAAATAGAAAATTCTATTTTGATTTCAAGTACCATCTAAAAATTTAAACTTACCAACTCCAAATAATGTATTTATTCTCACATCATTAAAAGCATTAGTTATTAAAAGTTTCAAGACACTTTTCTTCTTCACAAAGTGTAAACTAACAAAACTAAAGAGGTAAGTAGTTTTGGCCAAAAGTTTTCACTAACTGGAAAGTTCACTCATAGCAAAGCTGAGCAGGCTTTGGAAATAACACCTGTCTCTCAACAATTGAGCATCTTCAATTATGCTTCCCTGAATGTCTCTGGAGTTTGACTCTCTTCACTCTAAAGATATAAAACTTTTCAGCAACTGAAAGTAAAGAAAACTGAAGGCAAGATGGTACTCACTTTTCAATCTCAATGCCAAGCGGATTAGCAGGACGTAGGGACAAGGGAGGAATTCCTTTATTCCTGTCAGTACGCATGTCATAATAATTCATTTCATCAACCCACACAGCAGACTGATCCAAAATACCTACCAAAATGAGGAGCACATCCTTAATAAGATACAGACTCCCCCAGGACTTTCTAAGTCTTGCCAAATTCCTTTACTTTTTAAAGATCTAATATGAAATGCACGCGAAGGTAATTTTTAAGAGATTTGAGGGCACAAAAGCTCAGATTTTTTTAATGGCTGGTGGCTTGATTAAAAACCCCAAGAATCTATAAAAAGGCAAAAATAACACCTCTTGGGTTCACAGTTTCATTGTACATTATTCAACAGAGAAGACAAATTAAGCCTCTGAGAAAAAGTTCTGCTAAACAAATGTATTATACAAATAATAAACAGTAAAATTAGTTTGGTAAATTCAACAAAATATATATATATTATATATTTATCTAAAGAAATCCTTATATAAAGAAATTAGTCCTTATATAAAGGAATCAAACACCTTCCAAGGAATGCATGGCTTATCTAACGGGAAATGACTAGGATATTCAGGAAAAATGACTGGGAGGATCCTGTGAACAAAATATAACCTCTGAAAACAGTACCCTCTGACGGGACTGAGCTCTTAATCACAGGACTTGGCATAGGACTGACTGGCTTACCACCTCCAGGCCTCGGCTGCACAGAAGTGGGCAAAGTGCCAGCATGCAGAGAGGAGGGGCTAGGAAGGTTTCATGGAAGTATTTGATCCCAGGCACCTTCTAGCTATGTTGACGCTTTGTGAACCCACTAATTCTATCAGCACCCACAGTTCTGCCAGGATGCAACAGGAGACTTTGCCAGAGAAGATGCTCAAGTCCACATCTTCCTGAGTTTGGTTCAATAAGCATTTACTGAGCCTATACTGTGCTAGGTCCTGTTTTAGTGATTTCAAATACGTTTTCTTCATCTGCTGTATAAACATGATGTAAGATGATGCTGTATTCTGTCAAAATGTCTTAAATTTAATTTAAGCAAAATTATTGACTTTTCTGCATAGGAGAGAAGTACAGCCTGGGTTTAATTATGCCTGTCATAGTCCTACATTATACAAACATTTATCAAGTATTGACTGTGTGCAAGACGTGACAGGACCACAAAGATGAACCTGACATTATTCTTATTTTAGTAGGGGAGATGGCCATGTACAGAGATAGCTATGAAAACAATAATTAAAAATTAACTTATGGAGCACTTACTTTGTGTGAGTACTTTACATGTATGTTCTAACTCATTTAACCCTACGGAGTGAGTAATACTATTATTTCACTTTTACCCACAAGAAACTGTGCACTGAAGTTCCACAGCTAGGAGTGCTGGAGCCCAGATTAGTATCCAGAGTCTGGCTCCTCAGACCAAGTTCTTAACTACTCCTAATATGAGGAGGCAAGTGCTAAGTGCACAAAAAAGTAATACACACAAAGTGCTATGGGGCACAGAGAAGAGTGGTTATTTCTAGTTTGGAGGGCTAAAGACACACCAGAGCAGCAACATTTCATCCAGGCCTCAAATGATGGAGAAAACGAAGAAAAAGAGAACATCATTTACATAATATTATTGTTCATTTGGCCAAATCAGGAGGATATTTCACCTCAAATCTTAACTGTATAATAGAAAGGAATGCAATTATTGTATTCAAGATCAGGGAACTAAAATTGGCATATCAAAATGTTAAATGAGCAGACTTTATAAAGATGTAGAGTGATAATTCTCTCCTGATCATCACCCCTAGTTTCACAGACTGTTATCAGGAAACTGCCTTTTCAACAATAATGCAAATTTTAACCAATATCCTATTCCTGTTAAAATAAACATAAACTGACTCTAAGTTAATGAGATATGAGAGTAGATAAATTTACACTAATCTATCAGTTTTAAATTTTAAAAGACAAACTATTATTTTCTTCCTTAGAATAAAGTCACGAAAGATGATACCTATTTTTTCAGGTTTGAGTAACTTGAAAGAGACTGTTGAGGTTCCTTTGCCACCCGACTTGGTTGTGACAATAATGTCTCCTTTGTCATTTTTGGCTTGTCCCACTCGACATACTATTTTACTCCCCGACATCCATTCTGCCGTCAGGAGGCAATTATGTCCACAAATTGTCAAACCTGAAGATAAAAGCACACACATAACAAAGTTCAAAAGAACAATGATACTGGGGGGCTGGCCCAGTGGCCTAGTGGTTAAGTTCAGCATGCTCCGCTTCAGCAGCCCGGGTTCGGTTCCCGGGTTCAGACCTATACCACTCAACAGCAGCCATGCTGAGGCGGTGGTTCACATACAAAAAGAGGAAGACTGATATAGATGTTAGCTCAGGGCGAATCTCCCCCAAGCAAAAAGAGGAGGATTGGCAACAGATGTTAGCTCAGGGCAAATCTTCCTCATTAAAAAAAAAAAAAACGGAGAACAATGATACAACCTTAGATATGTCTATTACACGAAAATACAATTCTTGTCCTATTAGTAATATCAGGCCTTTTTCATGAACTGAAAAATAAATCTAGAAATAACATTTCCTTGTTCAATAGTTAGTTATTTCTATTATTGAATATACCCAATATTATTTGCAAATATACTGCTGTCTCTACAGATTTTTATCTATTCTGCTTTTTCTCTAATATTTAAGACTTATTTTAGATTATATTTAAAAGTTTCTTCAAACATCAATGGAATTAGAAAATAATGACCATAATAATTATGTCTAGGCATTCCAGATTACTTAGACTATGAGAATCTTAAATTGCTCTCATAGGTGTTAGAAGGGAAATTACTGCTATTATTCAAAGTCTAAGTTTTTAATATAAAATTCTAAAGTATATTAATATATATATATGTCATTCCCTAAAAATATATTGATGTATCTTCCAGCAAGTACTTTTACTAGTGTTCAATTATATATGGTATAACAGAATGAACCAAAGTAGATGCTTTATTTTAGGCATAGCCTGGAGTCTGGTAAATCCAGTAAACATTCTTAGGTATTACCAGATGACTATTTCATTTTTATATCTGCATATCATTCCTAGAATGGCAGTTCATGCTACCCTAGGGTTCCCTAATGATACTGTCACTACACTACGTTCTGCTCTCACAGTCAACTGGCATTCTCAAAGGGCACCTCAGGCCCCCACGGCATGTAAATTACAGTGTAGGCGGGAAGCAACCAGGGAGGTACTGAAAGATTGCAGTGAGGAAGACAAGACCCACGCAGAACACCAACACACCACCACGAGGACACTCTAGTGCCAGCTAGTCTGCTCACTTATTTCCTCTGTATTTTCCATTTCTGCAAAAACAGAGACCACTATAATAAATATTCATGGACAAAATAAACCAAAATGTATATGGCAAAGACCCTGACACTTCAAACTTTCTTTTCTCATTATTTAACTTTATTTTATAGTGCTCAGCAGTCAAGTTTGGCAATTTTTTTTTTCAGATACCAGGAAGATCTCAACTAAGGCCAAATATGGAAGAAAAAATGTAGGAAGGGATTCAAGTCATCTTTTGTTACCACTTAAAGTACTATTTAGTAAGAATGTTATATTAACCATAAAGAAATAAAACTATGTACATTTTTAAGACATTTATATCTATTGAGATAAGGCATTTTAGAGATTTCCCTAAAACATCTATTTATTCATGTATGGATTTTTGTTTTTCTAATAACAGCTCTTAAAGGTTCCTTTAGGACTAAGTTTTCTGTTGGTTTTTTCAAATGTGTAATGACATTTACACATTTTTAAATGCACTCATAATTCAAAATTATTTTGAAAATTTATCTTGATATCCTCTCCTGACAATCAATTTTTGTTATGAAAAATTTAAACAATTTAAGAAACTGAAAGCACCCTGGAATTCCTCTCCATCTCCAAGGGAAGCACTGGAAACAGTTCAATGTATATTTGCTCCAATAATTTTTTTGGACACATAAATCAATAAAATGAATAGGAAATGTTTTCATTTATAAACTGTTTAATTATAGATGGTGGATATTCTGATAAGACTCCAGGGCAATACATAACTTAATATTTTTAAATTTTATAATATCAAAAAGATTTTTGTGATTTTAAATATTAACTCACTTCAGAAAGGAGAATAACTCCACATTTATGTCAGGGCTTAATGTAAAGTCATTCCTAATACAAGTTCCCTGCTAGAGAACTATCTTTGGTTAAAACTAAGGAACAGAGCAGATTTCAGATATATAGACGTGAAGTCTTAAAAACTTGTTCAGATGAGCCAACTTGAATGATATCCATGAAGGTACAAGTTGGAAAAAAACTACCCAGAACAACAGTTTATTCTTCTAATGTATAAACTAATGTTTTATACATCTTTATACATCTAAGGTTCCTCTGATTTAATATCTGTTCTGCATTTGAACTAAAAAAAAAATCACCATATAATTATAAACATAGAATCAAACAGATGTTTTAAATGTCATGAAAATTAAAATCATAAGACCTATTTCTTAATCTCTTACGCATATTTTTGCTAAGTTACTGAAAGCTGAGAAATCTGCTTCACGAAATACAGTTACTTTTTTTTTAAAGTAACTTGTAGAATTCCAAATAAAGTGTTTTTATACTGTTTTACTTGGCAGTGTAGACATTATCTGAGTTAAAAACACAAATTATTTAGTAGGTTAAGTTTGCTTTTTTAAAAAATAGTTCTTGGCAATACATAGGCAGGTTGAAAGCTGAACTAGCAAGGTTTATAAAAGTAAGGCACACTTAGTCAAATAAAAATAGCGTTGCCTGAAGCTAAAGCAAGATTAAAATTTACATAGACTAGTAACTGTCATTTTGGGGAGCTCACGATGACTGCCCGTTAAAATCTGGGACATAACTTCCTACTCCACGCATTGTGGGGATTTTTCCACTTTGGATAAAGAAAAATCTGGAATGAGCTATGTCAAAAAACAAGACATGGGATTAGATGAAACTATCTTCATAAAAATAATAAGTTATATTTACTGAAGAATCAAAAACTATAGCTAGAGAAAACAATACAAATGAGACATATTTAAAAAACACTAGCGAAAAGAATTAGCTGGAAAGTGCAAAACTCGGTTATTAAACATAGTGCTAAGCCTTATTCACTTTCTCTTTTCAAAGGGTTTTCTGGATGGCCAAAAACCAATCTGTGAATCAGCAGCTACAAGGCAGGAAAAACAAGTTTCAACTCATGATCTCAAGGACTTTATCAAAGAGGAGCTCATAAATTAAGAAATGAGTCAAGAGAATGTCTGAATCCAGATAAACTTACGTGGGGAGTCAGAACATATATTCAGTGGCATACACTGGAGCCTCTGTCTTCCTCGTTTCAAATGCATCTGTACAACCTCACATAGAGTTCACAGAAAAATAATCATAACTGACCAAACAATTAGATTTATAATTTGCTCTCTACCTTGGCTATTCTTGACACTCATTTATATTTTTAAAAAAAATGAATAGGCTTCATCATTAGAGACTAAGAGCTAGCAGGCGAGAGCATTTAAGTTCTAGAGGAGATTAAGACAAGCCAGGAGTGAGACGCAACAACACAAATGACTGCTCACATAAGCCAGCAGTGAGGGGGCTCCGTGTCTAGAAGGTGGGAAACACACCATGCAAACCAACATATAAAAACATTTATGCAGTGCCAACTGGAAGTACAGTGTTCCATCATTCATGTCCTTCAGCTTAAAATGATAAAAACATAAATTGAATCTAAAAAACTATAATTTAGCTTCCTCTAAATATGTAAATATTAGGGGAACCTAAATAAAAAGATTAACATGGGTGGGAATTGGTTTGGAGAGATTTTTTTGGTTGTAAATCTCAATCCTTGGCAGGCAGAGACTATTGGTATTTCAGATGCATGGTGCTACTCTCAACCATGGCAGAGAAAAGGAAACAAATAGAATCCATAGGTCATGGTGAGGATAAACGCCTGCCGAGAGTGGAGAGTCTCTCTTAGGTGAAGTGAGGTAAGAGCCAAGTGGTGCTGACATCACCAAGAGATGGAGTACAGATTTGATGGGAAGAGCAATCAAGAACAGAAGAGGCATAATTCACAGAGCGCTTGAGAAAGAATGCAGACAGCTGTATAGTGGAGGGAAAACTAAAGAGAGCAAGGATAGCTAGGAGGCAATCTGAGCAGGAGAGACCAAAGCTGAGGAAATGGAAGCAACTCTCAGGGCGGGAAACTTTCTGAAAGCTTTGATGAAAGACAATATAGACCAGATTTGACAAAACACTGATTTTAACAGAAAAATCAGAAAAACAAATAATTCTTTCATTTTTATTCAGATCATTCTGTATAGGCCACAATGATGTTTTTCTATCACCTTTACTATTTCAAAATAACATATCTTATCTCAATTGCCCAATATAAAAATGCATTTACCATGGATACATAGCACAGTCCTCGCCCTTACCTATGAGGTCGGCTGGGCCAGTCCCCAGGTTTTCTCCTCTAATTGTCACCTTTGTCCATGGTATTCCTTCATTTGGAGAGATGCCTGTCACAAGAGGGGGTTGTCGTGATCGAGACATTGTGCTTTGTTGAGCAAATTAGAGATGCAGTTATAGAAGTAACCTGTTAAAAGAGAAAGAAAAAAAAGGATTAGTGCCAACTGAGATAAGGACTGACTAAAAATACAAGAATGCTAGACATTCAGTACCAAAACATAAAAAGTATTCTTAAATACATAGTTTTTATGATTTTAGCTGTCAGTTAGCCTGTCTGCCAACATCTACTGAACATTAAGTTTACTAAGGACATTCTAGTTAGTTCTGCAAGAGAAATATCAGAAGAGTAACAGAAAACTAAGCCCTTGGTTCTAGGAACTTTCAATATCACGCCAGATAGAACCTCATGTCACCATTTAGCTCCATGCCTACACCTGGTGAATCGCAAATACAAACTAGGAACTGTTCTACTCCAAAAATTGTTTAAGGAAGATATTCTGATTCATTATATTCATAAAAATTAAAGTACATTTAAATTCCCATAGATGTATTGAACTTCATTTCTGTATTATATTTAGTATAGCAACTCTTTTTTTAATGTGCTCAAATCAATATATCGATATTTTTACGAAACCTGGACTGTAGACATACAGGCAGAAGTGTGAATTTGTTAACTGTTCTGAATATAGCAGAGTTGGTAAAAGTACAGTTTCTGAGGTCAAATACAACCTGGGTTCAAGTCCTGGTGCTCCAGTTTACTAATTCTGTTCTAAATCTCTGTTTTCATATATGTAAAATGAAGTTAATAACAGAACCTTTCATAAGGTTACAATTAAGATTACGAAGGATAATCCTAGCGAAGCATGGCACGCAGCATATGTAGGCAACAACAAATAATAAAGAAACCTCACTAATAAATCCCTGCAGAACTCAAGTACTCAAGGCTGCAGATGCCCCAGAAGATGGGGGTGAGGTTCAGAGCAAAACAGTAAGAACTTGCTGATTATCCCTATCTTTCCATAGTGAGAAGTTAGACACCCTGGCCCCTGTCTTCACCCTGCAGTCAGGTAGATCAGAAGCTTGGTCTCTGAAGAAACCAAAAAGAAGAGAACCAGGACTCAGGGACACCAGGCACAGCAGGGGTGATTAAGTGTCAACCTGCACAGCAAACTGTGGACCTCCTCAGTCCTGTCCCCTATCTGCTCTCACATTACTGTCAGCAAGTTGTGTAAACCGTCCCTGCCCAACTCCACCCTGTCCAGATAACTAGAAGATCATTCTCTGGAGAAACTGAAGAGTCCTCTGGAGAAACTGAAGAGTCCTAGGAAAAAAAGAACCAAAGATCCTAACATGTAAGGTCCTGAAGCTGGGTACCTGAGGGTTATTGTAAATATTCAATAAGATTACCTTTTGACTTTGTTATGAAAATAAGTTAATCTTGTCAATTTGCTATTCTCTTGTTTAACCTGAGGGGTAACTCAAGGGTCACAGGATTTAGGAACTTGTTTTAACAGAAGAAAGAGAATGCCTTCACAGATCACCACATAACCAGCCCCAGCTGCCACTGACACCCAGAAGTGAGACTGCCCAGGGGCTTATCTGGAGTGAAAGAAACACGGATTACCCCTGTGTTTCTGCGAAATGCCTCCTGCCAAGCCCCTAAGCTCTATAAAACCCCCTGCTTTCTTCTCTTGTTAAGGCAGATTTGAGAGAACCTATCCTGCCACCTTCTCGTTTTGGCCAATTCAAATAAACTTTTCGCCATCTCCAAACACCAGGACATCTCAGTGACTGGCTTACTGCACATCAGGCACAGGCACTTGAGATTAAGAGGTTCAGTATCAGTCCTCCCCAAAAAAAGAAGAGCTACTTGCAGTCACATCACCTAATTGAAAAGCCACTTAGAAACTCTGCCCATACACAAACTAAACAAATCAGCCGTTCACAGCCTCACTCTAAAATATACAGGACAGCCAAAGACTATAAGATGGTCAAGGAAAATATGTGAGAGAGAGATGGAAGTCAGATAAACAAAAAGATGCAGAAAAAAACAGAGATAATGCAAGTGTTATGGGCCGAAATGTGTCCCCACAAACAAATCATGTTACAGTCCTGACCCCCAGGATCTCAGAATGTATTTAGAGACCAGGCCTTTAAAGAGGTGATTAAGGTAAAATGAGGTCTTAGAGAGAGGTCCTAATCCAATATGACTATGTCCTTATGAGAAGAGGAGATTAGGACACAGACACACACAGGGGTAAGACCATGTGAGGACACAAGAAGAAAACAGCCATCTACAAACCAAGGAGAGAGGCCTCAGAAGGAACCAACCCTGCTTACACCTTGATCTTCAACTTCCAGCCTCTAGAATTATGAGAAAATAAATTTCTGTCGTTTCAGCCACCAAGTCTATCAGACTTTGTTATGGGAGCCCTAGAAAACTAACACAGCAGTTAACAAAAGAAAAAAAAACTGCAAAAGTATTGTAAACTTTGGGGCCGGCCCCATGGCGTAGTGGTTAAGTGCACACGCTCCACTGCTGGCAGCCTGGGTTTGGATCCCGGGCATGCACCAAGGCACTGCTTGTCAGGCCATGCTGTGGTGGCATCCCATATAAAGTGGAGGAAGATGGGCACAGATGTTAACCCAGGGCCAGTCTTTCTCAGCAAAAAGAGGATTGGCATGCATGTTAGCTCAGGGCCGATCTTCCTCACAAAAAAAGTATGGTAAATTTTGATCCCAAATTAATATTTGCAGAGGGAGAAAATTTTTATCCCTAAAGAACAGGATGTCATGAAAAGGAATAAACCTAAGAATAAGAGCTCTTGAGACTTTCAAAAAAGGCAAAAGAAACAAGATTTATATCACCCTAGTAATGCAGGAACTGACCACTGGTTTAACCTAAGGTGCTAATAAGGCTGCATAAGGGGAACTGTGTTTGGGGAGTGGTGAAAGGAAATGAAGAGGGTGAGAGAGTTAAAAATTTTTACCTATAATTGACTATCAACATAATGACAGATTAGACATACAATCTGGAAATGTGGAGGTGGATGCCAGAAGAGAACTATTGTATTATAAAGAATAAACTATTGTATTGTATTGTATTATAAAGAATATGACTGACCTTGGTCCCTGGTTTCTGGGATGGAGACTCAAAATCCCAGAAGTGTCTTGTTCATGAGCCCTTCAGACCACACCTAAGTTTACGCTAATAACTCAAAATCAGGGCTGGCCAAACCAGAAAGAGCAACCCTGCGACTAGAGGGCTGGGGCTCTGAGCCATGTGCTAGCAGCCCAACCTCCTCTGGAGCAAGGGAGGGGGCTGGAGATGGAGTTCATTCACATCGCCAATGATGCAGTCAGTCACGCCTAGTCATGCATTTAATACAAAACAAAACAACAACAACAGAAAACAAAGGACTGGAAAGACACTACCATCATCCAATAAACCAAATGAGACAACTCAAGGTTATCTTGAACACCTCTCCTTCCCCATCACACCCCCTGAGCCAAATAGAATCTTTCTGTCAGAATCCAAAGTCAACTATTCCTTTCAATTCTAGTGGAGCTCTCCCAGTTAAGACATTCATCTTCTCTCCCTAGATACTGTAACAGAGTTCTAACTGGTTACTTTGTTCCTATTATCTCTCCACTGCAATCCACCCTCTGCAAACACCAGAGTTAATTCTCCAAAATAAAGATCTAATGACTGTCATCCCTGATTTTTAAAAAATAATATTCCATGACACCCCACTGCTCAGTGGTCTCTAGTGCCCACAAAATCCTTAGCATTTTATTAAAACCTGTCACAACTAGACTCTTCTACATTTCCTACTTCACCCTCAGTCATTTCCCTCATTCATGGGACACTAACCACATAAGCCCATTCACCTCTTATGAACTGCCAAGTACTTTTATGCCTCCATGATTTCATTTACCTTGTTTCAATTAAATAGAAAGTCTTTGGAGTTTGTTAAATACTTGCCAGTACTTCAAGGTCAAGCTTAAATGTTACCTTCTCTAAGAAAGTCTCCCTGATCCCTCCTTCTACAATGTTTTTGCTACATAATTCTAATATTCATTGTGTAAAATCTTAGCTGTCAGGTTTGTGTCTCCTCTTTGAAGACACACGATGTTTAATCAACTCTATATTCCCAATACCTGTCATACATTACCTGACACAAAATAAACATGCCATATGACTGCTGAAAGAGGTTGAATAAATGTTTTCTGAATGTTTCATGCTATCAGTGGAACACCGGAATTAAAATAGGACAAAGATAAGAAGTACAAGGGGTAGAGGATAGGGATAGGGGACAGGTATTAGGTGTACACACAGAAAAACAAAAAAAAAGTTAACAAGACACTTGTACACAATAGCACCAAAATAATAAAATACTCAGGAATAAATTTTACAAAAGAAACACAAGACCTGTACTTTGAAAACTACAAAACACTGTTGAAAGAAATTAAAGAAGACCTAAATAAATGGAAAGACATGGATAGGACAACTTAATATTGTTAAGATGGCAACACTCCCCAAGTTGATCTACAAAAAAACCACAATCCCTATCAAATTCCCAGCTATCTTTTTTGAAGAAACTGACAAGCTAATTATAAAATTCTATGGAAGTATAAAGAACCCTGAATAGCCAGAACAATCTTGAAAAAGAGGAATAAAGTTGGAGGATTCACATTTCCTGATTTCAAAACTTACTACAAAGCTACAGTAATCAGGGGCCAGCCCAGTGGTGTAGTGGATAAGTTTGCATGTTCCACATCGGTGGCCCAAGGTTCACTGGTTTGGGCTCGGACCTATTCACCACTCATCAGGCCATGCTGAGGCAGTGTCCCATATAGAATAGCTACAACTATACAACTATGATATACAACTATGTACTGGGACTTTGGGGAGAGAAAAGAAAAAGAGGAAGATTGGCAACAGATGTTAGCACAGGACCAATCTTCCTCAAAAAAAAAAAAAAAAGCTACAGTAATCAGTGTGGTTCTGGCATACGGATAGACATACAGGTCAATGGAACAGAACTGAAAGTCCAGAAAGAAAACTCTTACATTTATGGTCAATTGATTTTTGAACAATAGAGAAAAAAATAATCTTTTTAAC